ATCAGCATATTAAAGTTCTCTTACTGCCCACAGGGCAGAAAGAGTTAAAATTAAAGCAAATGATTTGCGGTTTCTTTTTCGTATTTTCTCATGAGAACATTTTTACTATTGAAACATAATTTACCACATTAGTCTCATTTGTAAAAACAGTTGAATTACGTACTTTTTTAACTCTTCCATCCTTGTGGGTACTAAATGGGACTTTTTTTAGCAAGCCCATTATGGCGTTGACCCGGCCACAATGATCGGATGGTAAGAGACAAGATCTAACATACCTGGACAGACCACATCTGAAAAATTCCTATGGTTTTTTGACCATCTGGATTAGTTCTTGTGTCTCCCAGAGTAATTGGCTTCCAACTTAACACTTAACAGTGTGGCCAAACGGCCTTCTAAGTTATGTACTGTATTTCTTTGTCAATTGTTGCGAAAGTTCCGGTTTGTTTTTTCGTGTAGTTTCTAACATTGCCACTTTTTTCAGAAGCGATTGGTCAAAATTATAAGAAGTAAAAAGTTATCGCACGTTAATTATATCTTCTGAGCTTACTATTAAGATTACATACCGCCTTCATACTTTGAATTTTCTCAGGTACTGCTCCAGACCTTCACCTGTATAAACGTAAAATTTATATGGTAGAATGTCCATACTTTTATCTCATATTTTGCTAGTTTGCTGGGAATATATTGCTTGAAAGGACAACAAGCTCTAAACCAACTAATTGTTCATCACTAGTAACATTTGATCCTGGTATATACAACTTGGAACAATTTTTTCCCCAAATATCTCGTATAGAGGCAAGTTTATCGGTTCTATCTCCACTAACCCAAAGTAATTACTAACTTTTAAATTGAATCGAACACGAGCCCGGAACCACCAGAGCTCTACTGTAGTATCTAAACTAGATCGGTTGTTTAGTGGTCGTTCTCGCCCAAAAATCGTTTATTTATTCTCATTAATTACGAAAAATATATTGAAAGTAATCAAATTATATAAATTAAATTGTTAATATTCATATTTGCAGAAGAGTTACGATATCAGTTGCAAAACACATCATAATTCTTTTGAAATTCTCTCGAGTTAAGCGTGCATAGTAAATATGCGTAACGTGAAAGAACTTTAAACAAGTTACATCCTACATAGAATATAAATTTAAAATGTTGGCTCATTTGCAAGGATATAATTAATGAGATTAGCCAAATTAAAGTCATAGAAAAAGTGCATACGTAATTTAAACTACTTTAAATATTCATACTTCTCGGGACTTTAAAGTTAATTTTAAACAATTAAAAACAATTTAATAAGCTTTAGGAATAATTTAATTTTTAATTAAAACAATTTTTTAACAATTCTTTTAGTAAATTGTTAAAATACCGAACGTTACTTGCAGTATATCAATGAACTTGTAACTGTATAAAGGATAAACGATTTTAAGCCAAGAAAAATATGACTCAGTCTGCCAAGATTTTTCTCAAATTTTTAAGGAAAATAAAGAAATAATTAACAAAAAAATAACAATTTAAAACTTCGACGACCTTCAGAACTATAGAATAAATATAGAAATGGTCTCCTTATCAAACTAATTTAATCAAAAATTATTTTCGGTATTCATTATCATACTTTCTTTGCTATTATTAACCTTTTTTTGATATTCTCTCGAGCGTAACGAAGAAATGAAATACTTTCAGGGATCATAAAATGCTTAAAAATAAAAAAAATTAAGTACTTAAATCCTACACATAATTATTAAACTGACAAGTAAAGAATATCCCGTTTATCGTTGCCAAAATTATTATTTTTTTTATCATTTTAAAATATATAAAAATAAATTTATTTTATTAATGTAGTGGAACTAGTTAAAATACAGTATACAATTTCATTTTTAATAGTTTATTTATGTTATAACCTCTCCTTAAAATTTTGGCTTGTTAGATAACATTTATCCTTTTTCTTTATTAAAAAAAATTAATTTTAATACATATTTACGTATATAAAATTAGTGTTTTTAGAAGAAGAGGAAGTAAAACTGCTCAGGATGAGAAGAAGAGAAGTAAAGAGGGAGTCAGAAAAAAATGAAGACGGGATGAGGGAAAGTAAAGAGGGAGTGAGATAAAATGGAAAAAGAATTTGAAAAAGGGATGCGGATAAGAGAAAAAGGGCCCACGTGCATGCACACATATTTATATATACAATATATATAAGTATTATATATATATATTCTTCGAGCTGAGAGTGTTTTATTTGGCCTTAGAATAGAAACAAATGATAATATTTATATAAAATTAAAATTTCTAGACATTGAACCCTTTTGAAAACACTAATAATCCTTAAAATAGCGCCGTCAAAAAGAATCCTCCTACAATTTTTTTTGAAATTCTTGAAGAGCTTCTTATGTAGATTACAATGTTTTCTATTCTTGCCTCAGTAGGTGGCTGCATCAGAGAAAATTTATATATAGAATGTTTATTACAATCTACTAGTCTAGTACCGCATAGCTGTATCTAGAGGATATTTCCCTTCAGTTATCTTAACCTGATTATCTATTTTCTTTAAATACGATACGTTTCGTTATAGTCAACTAAATTTGGTAAGAGTGAACATTAACATACCATTAATATAACCTCATCTTTACGCAGTTATTTCGTAGACAATTTGCTTAATCCTTTAAGGAATTGTGTATCGGTAAATTTGTTATTGCAATATGCTAAAGTACATAGATTCGTTACACGATCATGGGACTTCTTGACGCCCTAAACTATTACCTTCACCTCAATCAAATAATAATACACGTAAAAATGTGAGGCCCTAAACAACTTAAATAACAAGACGTAAAAACTTGAGGCCTTAAGCTATAACCTTATAGTGCGAGGACCTGAAGTATAGATTCATATTGTAAGGATCTAAGCTGTGGACTTATAGCTTGAGGCCCTAAGATACAGTCTGCTTAGCTTAAATTCTGTCACATTAATCTTACTTTTTTTACGTAATTTCTCTCGTATCAAATTTTAAATTATAATTATTTTAAATTAAAGGAACGTTCTCAGACATCTCACTAGCATTAAAAATTACATACATATTTATGCATCAACTATTTTGGCAAAGTATTCGACATCCACGTGTGTGTTAACTGTCAAATTTGAAGCAAAACGAGCTCTCATATTTACATTTATAATCTGTTACGACTTGTTTACACATAAAATACGAGTTAAAGATATATTTATTAAGGTCTTTTTTAACTAAAAATTTAAGATTTGTTGAAAGAAAACGACTTTAATAAATAAATTTAAAACTGTTTTCCTTTAATTTAAAAATTTGGATGCAGAAGCGTTTAAAAGTTAAAATTCTGCTTTCTCTTAGATTTAAAATCAACAAAAATACATTTTCGTTGCCAACTAAAGGGCTTGAGTGATTTAAAGAGAAAAAAACTACATTTTAAGCCTTTGATAATGACGTAACAGGTGTTCTTTACGTAAATCTCTATGCTATTTTTCTCTTCCTAAATTACTAGAGAATTCAAGCGTGAAAACGTCTCTTACTTTTAAGCTCTGCTTGAGAAGGAATTCTGGCTCAAACAATAGAATTAAATTACAAGTAAATATACTTTCTAACACTAAAATCTTTAATTCTAAACATGTAATTTACAAAATTTTCGTCAAAATAAGAAGAATGAGTAAAAGAAATATGTTAAATTTACTCGAAAACATGAGCATTTCCAAATCCTAGAAGGTTATAAATAATTCTCTAAACACATAAATCATTTTCTGGTTGTCAGATTTACATAAAAATATCTCTATTCCTTGAATAATTTTTAAAATTTAAACAGATTTTATAAGAAATTTTTTAAAAATAAAAAATAATAATAATAAATTCCTAAAAAATTTCGATTTTTAGATGATTTNAAAATTTATATATTTATATAATTTAGTTGCAGTTTTTTTATTATTATTTCAACAGAATGTAAATTTATTAATTTTTTTCTAATACAATCGAACCTTAGAACAACGGCCACTGACGAAAACAAAAAAAAACATGGCCGCTATTGGGAGGTGTTCGTTAGTGAAAGGTCGACTTTATTAGAAAAAAAACTGGTAAATTTATATTAATGTATTGAAAACATGCTTAAAAGAGATACTTGAATCTACTTTTTTTAAATTTCTGTATATATTGCGAATACTTTGAATATGTTCCATTAAAAACATGTTCTAATGTTCTTGTTTCACAACATTCTTCAATTAAATCTATAATTACTTGTTTTTAAACTTTAAAGAGTGTATTAAAAGTTGATATAATTAATAAAAGTGAATTATTTGGGGTAAAATTTGCAAAAATTTACGTAAGAAAATGAATTTTTAGTGATTTTTTAAGTAACGATTCTTCCTGGTTAAGAAGTCTCGTGAGATACTTTCCATTTTTGAATTTCTTGCGAAAAAGAATGAATTTCGACCCAAATTTACTGTCGATTGTTCCTTTTTACTATTACGCCATCCAGATAACTTGCGGATTGTAAGTGGGACGGCGGAAATCAAGCCAAAAGTAATTTTTGGAATCGCTCTTTACGTTGCTATTATCGTCTCCCTTTACGTCACATAGCGACAATAAAATGCGTCATAACCCGATTTATGTAAAAGTAATAATAAAACATAACGAAAAAAATGTGAGAACGACGTATCTCGATATAACGACGACGTTAAATCGACCGCTGTAAATTCCATTCTTGCAATTATCGTTTCATATAATCGCTTGAAATTTTCTAGAATTCTACAATGGCAAAGACAAAAACACTTCGTAGTAACGTAGTATAAGTTTAAAATTAGACACAAAAGCAAACTTTTGAACCAAAATATTAAACGAAAGTGTTCCAAAAACTATTATTGTAACCGAGTTCCTTGCCCACGAAAACGGGGTGCAGACGAATGACGTCATTTGACGCCCCCGTGCGAAGGAAGTTTGGTAAACTGAACCTTCTTTCAGATTGGATGATCACCAGATATGGGCATGAAGATGATGTCATCTTTCCGCCACGATTCCTTCAAAAAGTAGCAGAAAAGGAAAGTCGGCAGTCAGTGAAGGAATATTCCATCTTGAAACTAGTCGCGCGAAGATATTTAAAATATGGCAAACCGAGGTCCATCATACGGTCTCAGCGCCCAAGTTGCTAACAAGGTAAGGGATCATCACAACAATGCTTCTATACCTTCAGTTTACTCCATGTTTTACTCGAAATTTAAGAATTATCGCGTTTATTTACTCACAAAATAATAAATATATAACTGTATAAAAATTTCTGTTGTCATAAATTTTAATTTAAAGTGTTTAAAACGTCGTTATTTTTAATTCAAACGGGAGCGTGTCCCCTGTTAAGGTTGCATCTCTGCACGACAGAGATGTATTGAGGGGAAGTGAAGACTAATTAATTTTAATTTTATTAGTTTAATTCTTATTTAAATTTAAAACATATAATTCTTACTTAACACGATGTTGTTCTCGTACAAATTTTTGGCAATTAAATTTGGCTGAAGTCTTAATTTTTAGCTTTTTTTTCCTTTTCTTCTTACTCTCTAGACGTGTCTCTTTCGATGACACGAAGCCAAAATTTTCTTTGCTTTATAATTTAATTTTAAATTTCAAGTTCTTGTTTTTAGTTTTAATTTTATAGTATATTTTTATTTTAAAAAATAGATTGCGGGTAAAAGAGATCCCGAATTAGAGGCTGAAGTTTTAGAATGGATAAGCACAATTTTGGGAGAAAAATTACCCAAAGGAACCTACGAAGAAATTCTGAGAGATGGGACTGTACTTTGCAGGTAAATACATGAGTACTTTTCCAAAAACACATTAATTTATCGAAGCAAAACTGAAAATTATTTTTATAGATTAATGAATAAATTGATGCCCGGTTGCATACCAAAATATAATACATCCGGAGGACAGTTTAAAATGATGGAAAATATTAATAAATTTCAAGAAATGGCCAAGAAATATGGTGTACCAGAGATTGACGTCTTCCAAACAGTCGATTTATGGGAAAGGAGAAACATTCCTCAAGTTACACAGTGCTTGTTAGCATTAGGACGCACGGTATGTCATTAAAACTTTTCAAATAAAATAAATTATTTAAAATTCTAATAATAAATTACTGAAATTATTCCAGTGCTACACGCATCCCGAGTTTCAAGGTCCGTGCCTTGGTCCAAAACCATCTGAAGAAAATAAAAGAGAATTTACTGAAGAACAATTAAGAGCCAGCGAAGGTATAATAAATCTTCAATATGGCACAAACAAAGGAGCTAATGCCAGCGGATTAAACTTTGGCAACACTAGACATATGTAAAGATATCATCGAAAATCTTTTCCACTGTTTCATGTTTTCATTGTATTCACGAGAAATAAATTATACCGATTTTTGGTGAAGGAAAAATATTAGATTTTCATGTGCAATAAATCCATTTGTAAGAATTTATAGTTGTGATCAATTCATATTTTTCAATATTAGTAAATAAATTTTTTCATTTTGTTTTGATTTCGCTCTGTATTTAATAGAGAAAACATGAGATATTTTATTTATATAAGTTTAAATACGGTATTTTATTAAATATTTAAAATAATTATTTATATTACAAGCTACAAAAACAGGTAGAGGAAGCTTAAAGGGATTCCAAACATAGTGATATAAATTAAAGGTTCTTTTGATAAATGGTAAAAAATCTGATTTTATTTATATATTTTAATGCTTTCGAAGCGGGTAGGCCCCACATTTTAACTAGCTCGGGCCTCATCTCGTCTCTCAGGCCTTAACAACAGTGATTAAATTTAACGCGTTTTAAAAAATGTTCGAAGCGAAATCGCTGTAAATTATAAATAATAGTTTAAATGTTGGTTTATTTTTCTAAACATTAAAATTTTTATATATACTGTAATATGAAAAATATTTAACAAAAATTATAGAATTCGATGCCTGAAAACAGTTCAAATTCATAAAGAAATGAACTTTTTCTATAAAAAGGAAAATATATAAATTGCAACTATCAATAAATTCAAAATTATTTTACAGAATTATTTATAATAAATATATATTTACTTTATAATTAATTAACCTTACTTTTATCATAAGATAATAATGGCCTAATAGATACTAAGCAGGCCTTTTCACAAGATCGATCAATAGAATTGGTCAGCATTTTTCCTGGGATTTTTTCACGTGTCTAACATGGGCGTAGCGAGGGGGGAGCCCGGGTGGGCACGGCCCCTCCCAAGGAACCTGGTGCCCTCCCCAGGAAATCACAGCCGAAAAAGTGTTGAGTCGATTTGTAAAAACCTAAAGCTAAAATAAAAGTTTTGAATACTAAAAAAAGGTGAACGGATTGCTCGGTGCCCAATAATGAACAATAATTTGAAATAATTCAATTTTGTGTCAGGTTGGCCTCCACTAGGCCCCCCATAACAAAACTCTGGCTACGCCCATGGTGTCTAACACTTAAATAGGAGGTCATTTTCTGCATAGAAAGTTCTCCCAGGAGGTCCATTTGTTGGGTTACCCTATTCCATTACTCCACTTATTTTTTCAGATTCAAGTCAACGATGAGTTAAAGGGTGATGAAGAATAGGGCCCGTCGTATTCTGGACTGACACATCTACTAGAAAAAAATTCCTGAAATTCGTGATCTGTCCTCGAACACGGATCCCGAAAAGCGAAGGTTTGATGCCCGGTGATCTCGTCGTCAAAAATATATTTCTCGAAACAATTATTTATAATTAAACTTCATTAATTGAATAATAAATTGTTAAAATTATTATTTAGGTGGGTAGATGGAAGTAATGTTTCAACTGATATCGCCTGGAGGAAAATATATATATATATATATATATATATTAAATATTTTTATATATTATTTTTATATATTATAAATTATTTTATACCAATACCAGTATTATTTATTTTTTGAGCAGAGCACTTCGTAAGTCGGAAAGAGTTTTGCCTGTGATCGAGGTTTAAAGCAACTTCAGACCATTAAACATGATTTTTTGCAAATGAAGTCTGTTCCGAAATGATAGAAACACTATTCGAATTTTTAATAACAAATAAATATTACTTTTATTATCTTCTCCATTCTAATTACTTAATTTTGACATTTTATATCTGTATTCTATTATTGAAGTTAGAACACTATAGTTTGCCGGCCGGATTGCCGAGAGATTAAGATATTGGTCTTCAATTTTGGGGGCCCGTGAACCGAATCCGGGCGGGACGGTTCAGGGAAATTCCTGGGAATAAACCCCAGAAATTTTTCGGGGATCTGTCTGAATATATCGGGCCCCGTTTCATCTCTGGCCGCTTTATTGTGGACTTGGCCAAACCCACGATGGTTTTAATTAAAAGGCTCACTTAGTACCGACAGGGCGGAAAATTAAAAAAACCACTTTGTAGTTTAGTTATAGTTTTCGAAGTAATATATTGTACAACGAAAAGAACTAAAGAACTACAATTACTTTTTATTTCCACATATATAANTAATAAATTGTTAAAATTATTATTTAGGTGGGTAGATGGAAGTAATGTTTCAACTGATATCGCCTGGAGGAAAATATATATATATATATATCATTTGAAACGCTGCTTCCATCTATTGACTAAAATAGTAATTATAAAAAGGAAATGAGTGGGAAAAAATCAAAAATTGTGTTCACGCACAACTCTACACGCATACATTTGAAACCACAAACAACCTATATGTGATCTGTTCTACATCGTACCAACTAGAGAAAATCTATCAACGAGCTCAATTTTCTCCTTAGATTTAAAGAAATTTTAGACATTATTTTTGATATGAAAAGAGTCGACGATAAGGATATTAAAAATTAATTAATTACTATACTACAGTAATCTAAGCTAACGATGTTGGGTGTAAATTACAGGACGCATAACAGTTGCCATGCAATAACTTTGTCTCTGCTAGTTATCTGTCAATAATAGGGAAGACACAAGGTAGTAGACTTCCATCTGTCTCTGGATGACAAACATGCTGACTCGGTATCACTATTCATCCTTCTCTCATGATCAGACGATTACCTTTCCTGGTGGTTTGTCAAGTGTCCAGAGCCTGCCTGTCATGTACTGTACGTGTGACCTAACGTATCCACTGCCCCCAACACCTCCTTCATAATCAGATGAGAATGGTCCAAATAGTGGTCAATTTGGCAAAACTGTAATCTTATTTTCCTCAGCCCGATGATGCGGCTTTTGACTCTGACAACTTGTGCTTAATTAATTAATGTCTTCGACTGTGTCGTAAACATTCAAAACATGTCATTCGACTGTGTCGTAAACATTCGACTTCGAAGACATTCAAAACAACAGGTACACTGAAAATAGAAAGACACTTCAAGCCACTATGAATAGAAAGACACTATAGACTATCTGAATGGCGATTTTAAGACATTCTGGTAGCTTTACCTGTCGTGCGAAGGGCCACAATGGTTACAAATTCGTGTTTGGGCTTTCCATAATATAAATGACATTATTTTAGAATAAATGAAAGTACTCGACATCTGTAAATTTCATTTTTATAATTTTATTTATTAGAAAAACAATGAAATATTTCAAACCGATTAATGTTTTTATGTAACGCGTGACGTATTTATTGGAATCGTAACACGTAATGCGTTGTTATAATATATTGTTGCTTTTTCTATTGTAGGTCGACATTTTTAAGCGGAAATTTTTCGAAAGTTTCGTTTTTTTTTTTTTTCCTCCTTTCTTTTCTTTCCCGAGAAAATTGTGATTAAGTAAAATGTGTAAAATGTGATTTTACATCCATTTTAGACTACAGTTTGCCTGTCTGGTCAATGCCTCATCCCATCTAAACAAGGCCAATGAAGAAATTCAAAAGATATACTTCCTTCTAAATAAACTCAGCAATCTTCCATGTATCAATCCTGAAATTGCAAGAACACGACTCGGATTATCCGACTTTATAAAACGAATAAAATATTTTGACCCTAAGTTTATATTATTTTTCAAATTTTATAACGATATAATACATAACTATTGGCTTTGTCTTGGTTTCCAATATGAGAATCCGTAATAATTCTTGTCCACAGACGGATAGACGTATGTCTAATCCATTTCCCATAGATCACTCTTTTATCATATAGCTGATAACTCGAGACCTATAGAACACATAGCCAATCGTAAAATAATTATAACTGCTTTAAAAGTGCATCCACGCGTATTTTATATAACTTTTAATAATTAATTTATTTATTTGATTAATTTTAATTGATATGTACTTTTTTTCTATTATTTTAAATTTGTGTTTTAATTTTTATCTCTTTTTTTAATGTAATTTTAAATTAAACCAAATGTTTTCCATTTATGTATTTTCCCTAATTACTGTGCTTTTAGTTGTATGTTTTTATACAAAATATATATATATATACTAACAGACCCCGCCACGCCTTGTTGTGGCTCAAAATGTATCTATTATAAATGTATAACACTTCCCCAATGGGGGAAAATTTTTCGAAAAATTTTTTCTTAGTGTACATTCTGTTGACGTACCCTATTAAAACGCAATCAAAAACGCAAAAACCCGCATCTAAAATAGTATAATAGAAGCCAAGTTTTTCACAGTAAGCCTTAATCCTGTCC